CTGCGACTGGTCAGGCGGTGGACACAGGAAGGGAGGAGGAAGACCAGTAGATGACGGGACACCAAGAACCTGCTGAAGCAGGGGAACGAACTACGAACGCGGCCGCAAAGTGCCTCCAGCACTTCCAGCTCCAGGGTCAACAGCTCCAGCTCCTGCAGCTCCAGCGCCTCCTGCCAGGGCCTCCAACTCCAGCTACACCAGCTCCAGCGCCTCCGGCGCCAGCTGCTCCAGGCTCCGTAGGGTCTCCAGGTCTAGTAGTAACAGCAGCACCTCCAGCTCCAGTGTCTCCAGGCTCGCCAGCTCCGGGAGCTCCACTCCGACGGTGTGCTCGCTGAACAAGCCACTCACGCAGTTGCTGCGAGGACACTCGCGGTGAAGCACTAGCAGGACCTCCAGACGAAGCAGCACCCCGAGGCTCAGCACCCCCAGACTCCGTACCCTCCGACTCAGCACCCCCAGGCTCCGCACCCTCCGACTCAGCACCCCCAGGCTCAACACCCTCAGGCTCAGCACCCCCAGACCCAGCACCCTCAGACCCCGCACCCCCCGGCTCCGCACCCCCAGACGCAGCACCCCCAGACGCAGCAACCCCCGACAGCAGTACCTGGAGCAGCACCTGAGACGACAGCTACCTGAACAGGCGCAGGACGAGGGAGAGGGTCGACCTGAGACACTCCTGAGGGAGCAGGACCCTGGGGCGGGAGGGGGTCTACCGGAGGTGGACCGGGAGCAAGGAAGAGCGGCGGAGGCGGGGGAGGGGCAGAGCGGTAGGGGAAGAGACGGTAGAAGGGAACCGACTTGTCGAACGTGACGTCCTGAGACGAGAGGACACGGCGCGAGGTGGGGTGGTAAAACTGCCAGCCAGGCGCATCAGGGACAAAGCCACAGAAGACGCAGGGAATGGCGCGGGCGGAGAGCTTGTCCGCAGACGTATCGCGAACAAAGGCACGAGAACCCCAGACCCGGAACACCGAAGCATCGCCAACCTTCCCCGTCCAACGCAGTGCGGGCGAGGTCTCCGGCAAGGAGACACGGGGCCAGAGGTTGAGCTGGTGCGCAGCGTACCGGACCGCAAACGGCCACAGAAAATGGGGAGCAGCATGGATCATGGAGGTACGAGCGACCTCCATGACTAAGCCAATGCGGCGCTCAGCAATCCCATTTTGCTGAGGGGAGTCCGGAAGCGTGAACGACTGCGTGATGCCCTCCCCACGACAAAAGTCCCGCAAGAGGTCGGAGGAGAACTCACCACCTCTGTCAGAGTGCAGACGCAGGACAGGAAGATCCTGGCCGAACCGCTCGCTCAGCTGATGACGGACTGTGCGGATCCAAGGGATCAAGACAGCAGAGACTTCACCCTTTCTGCGCAACGGGAAGACTGTGGTGTACCGCGTGTAGTCGTCAACTACCAGCAGAAAGTAGCGCTCGCGGCCCTGTCCACTGACGTGGGCTTGGCCCCACACGTCCATGTGGAGGGTCTGCAGGGGAGCAGTCGTCGGGGGAAACGAGGAGGAGTGAGGAGTGGCGCGCTGCCACCCCTCGACGCAAGGAAGACAGAGCGGGGCAGGCGAGGGCGGTAAGGGAGGCAGAGACCTGGGGAGACCAGAGACAAGGAGACGGGAGTGCATGCCTCGAAGGCGTGGCAGGGAGGGGTGACCCAGGCGGTGGTGCCAAAGAAGAGTCTTGTGCGACAGGAGGCGACACGAGCAAGAGGCGGCGTCCTGACCTGACGCGGACACCTGAGCAGACGCAGCGACCTGAGGAGGCTCGGTAGCCAGCGTGTATAGACTCGACCCTGGCCGACGAGTGAACGTAGCCAGGTGACGCCCCGTCCGTGTGCACGTGCAGATTGACACACGCTGACCCCCAGGAGTGGTGGTAGTGACCATCGCATCCTGAAGGGCAGCGGTACTCACCAAGTTCGTAGAGAACGAGGGGAGGTGAAGACCTGACAGTGAGCCGGACGGAACCGACGGACACGGGAGGACAGTGGAGGAACTGGCCACGACCGGGCCCCCAGAGGGGTCAGCCAGTCTGACCGGAACAGGTGCAGGAAGAGGAGTGAGAGTGGTGCTGTCACGAAAGAAACAGCGCGAGGCGCCGGAGTCCAACGTGAAGGTGTGCAGGGCCTCAGTAGGCGCAGTACCAGGGGGAGTACCAGACGCACTAGCACCTAGAGCAGCAGCGGCTATACCTGGGTCAGGCGGCACACAACGGTAGCAGTCACCCTCAGCACTAAAAGACAAAGCATGCATGGCAGAGATAATAACATCATAGTCTAGGTCAAAGATAGCAACTCCCGACCTAAGCAACTCCGCCCAGTGAGGGGGCTCGACGTCGTCACCAAACTCAGTACGCCAGGCGTCGTCAAGGCGGGCAAAGCAGCGGCGCTTAGTGTGATACTTCCCGCATGTCTGGCCCGCACGGAAACCCGTGCGAATGACATACGGGCAGGTCTCACTACCCTCACCCGCCCCACGCTGAACCAACCACTCACGGAGCTGCTGGGGCGTCTGTGTCTCGCTCTGACGCTGCTGGTGCTGGCCCCGACCACCACTAGGGCCTGTGCGCCGAGGTCCAGACCTACCACCACGGGTCCCACCGCCTCCACTGCCGCCACTCCCTCCGCTGCCGCCACCGCCGCCACCAGAGCCTCCACCGCCGCCACTAGTCCCACCGCCGCCACCACCACCACCACCACCGCCTCCACCTCCTCTACCGCCGCCCCCACTACTGTTCCCACTGCCACCTCCACCACCACCGCTGCCTCCTCCACCACCCCGGCCACCCTTGCCCTTGCTGTTGCGGCGCTTCGCACTAGTCAAAGCAGCACCGACGTCCTCAGGAACTGAGACGTCTGCAGCAGCAGCAGAGGCGAAGGAGGGGGAAAGGGGGGAGGGGGGGCACCCCTCAAAGAAGGGCGAGCGCGGAGTGCCACGAGCAGCACCTACAGCAACTGCACTAGTCTCAGCTGCGAGGAGATGCTGCTCGAGGAGGTCAACAGTGAGGGAGGTGGGGTCGAGGGTGAGGAAGTGGTCCCTGACAGAGCGAAGGGAGTCAGGGTGGCGAGTGACTATGAAGTAGAGGGTGATGAACATGGGGGGCTGGTTCGTGGGAAGGAACTCAGCAGGGACGGCAGCGCGGTAGCGAGCGTCGCTAGTGCGCAGGTGGGTAACCAGGTCCGCTACTGTGGCAAAAGCCGACAGCTCAGGGAACAGGTAGGGCAGTAGCAGCCTGCCAATAGCAGCAGTGGCAGGTGAGGAGTAGCGAGCAACGACAGCGTCGTACAGGGCCTGTGCTGTCCTGTGCTCTCCAAAGTGAGCACATTCGGTCGCAGGCAGGTGGTTGGGAATGGCTAAGCGGGCAGTAGCGTGACGAGACAGCCACTGGGAACGAGTCGAAACGTCAGCTGTGGAGGGAGGGGCTGGAACGGCACCGGACACGTGGTCAAACAGTGAGACACTGTCCTTAAGAACGCTCAGTAGGTACAGTTGCAGATCGACATGCCACGTGTCAAATGCTACAGGCCTGCCCTCCGGGTCGAACGCAAGAACTCTAAGCGAAGTTATAGTGGCGCAGGGCTCAGGGGCAGTAGTAGCAGTAGCGAAGGGGCAGAGCCGAGGGGCCTAGGGGCCGAGGGGCCAAACAAGAGGGCCTAGGGGCCTAGAGGCCTAGGGGGCCAAGGGGCCAAACAAGAGGGCCGAGGGGCCAAACACGAGGGCCGAGGAGGCCGAGGCTAGGGGCCGAGGGGCCAAACGCCGAGGGGCCAAACAAGGAGCGGGGCCGAGGGGCCAAACAAGGTACGGGGCCGGGCGCTGGGCAGGTACAGGGCCGGGCGCGGGCTGGGTACGGGGCCGAGGGGCCGATGGGCCGAGGGGCCGATGGGCCGAGGGGCCTAGGGGGGGGCCAAGAGGCCTAGGGGGGCGAGGGGCCAAACAAGGAACGGGGCCGAGGGGCCAAACAAGGTACAGGGCCGAGGGGCCTGGGGGGGGCCGAGGAGACCGAGCCTAGGGGCCGAGGAGGCCGAGTCTAGGGGCCGAGGCTAGGGGCCGAGGGGCCTAGGGGCAGGGCCGAAGGGCCAAACAAGGAACGGGGCCGAGGGGCCAAACAAGGTACGGGGCCGGGCGCTGGGCGGTTACTGGGCCGGGCGCGGGCTGGGAACGGGGCCGATGAGCCGAGGGGCCTAGAGGGGGCCGAGAGGCCTAGGGGGCCGAGGGGCCAAACAAGGGACCGAGGGGCCAAACAAGGTACGGGGCCGGGCACTGGGCAGGTACTGGGCTGGGCGCGGGCTGGGTACGGGGCCGAGGGGCCGATGAGCCGAGGGGCCTAGGGGGGGCTGAGAGGCTTAGGGAGCCGAGGGGCCAAACAAGGGGTCGAGGGGCCAAACAAGGTACGGGGCCGGGCGCTGGGCAGGTACTGGGCCGGGCGCGGGCTGGGTACGGGGCCGAGGGGCCGATGAGCCGAGGGGCCTAGGGGGGGGCCGAGAGGCCTAGGGGGGGCCGAGGGGCCAAACAAGGGGCCGAGGGGCCAAACAAGGTACGGGGCCGGGCGCTGGGCAGGTACTGGGCCGGGCGCGGGCTGGGTACGGGGCCGAGAGGCCTAGGGGGGGGCCGAGGGGCCAAACAAGGGGCCTAGGGGCCAAACCAGGTACGGGGCCGGGCGCTGGGCAGATGCTGGGCGGGGCGCGGGCTGGGTACGGGGCCGAGGGGCCTAGAGGGCAGGGCCGGGTCGCGGGCTAGGTACGGGCCGGGCGCTGGCGTAAGACGGGGCCGGGCGCGGGCTAGGTACGGGCCGGGCGAGGGCGAGAGAAGGGGCCGGGCGCGGGTGTCGACGGGGCGCGAGCTAGGTATGGGCCGGGCGCGGGTGTCGACTGGGCCCGGGCTAGGTACGGGCCGGGCGCGGGTGTCGACGGGGCACGGGCTAGGTACGGGCCGGGCGCGGGTGTCTACGGGGCGCGGGCTACGTACGGGCCGGGCGCGGGTGTCTACGGGGCGCGGGCTATGTACGGGCCGGGCGCGGGTGTCGACGGGGCGCTGGCTAGGTACGGGGCCGGTCGCTAGCGTCGACGGGGCGCGGGGCTAGGTACGGGGCCGGGCGTGGGTGTCGACGGGGCGATCGCGAGCTAGGTACGGGCCGGGCGAGGGCAAGAGAAGGGGTCAGACGCGGGTGTCGACGGGGCGCGAGCTAGGTTCGGGCCGGGCGCGGGTGTCGACGGGGCGCGGGCTAGGTACGGGCCGGGCGCGAGTGTCGACGGGGCGCGGGCTAGGAACTAGGTAAGCGCAGTAGTAGGTGGTGGGCCCAATAGGAACCTACTCTAATACCATGTGAGAACAAGTGACGAAAATGGTTGACTAGGAAGCAAGGAAGGGTACAAGTAGAATGTCGAGAGAAATTGTGTACCCCCTAAGGCTAAACCCACTACAGCCTAGAGAAATATACACACATATGTTTGACAATTCGCCACCCCCGCCACCCCCATACCCTCCCCCCCTCTGCTGTACGATCAGCAGGGGGACGGAGGAGAAGGGGGGGGGTGGGGGGGGGGGGGGGGTGCAGGGGCTGCGTGGGCGACCGCAGGTCGCACGAAAAACATCCGCCACCCCCTCACACCCTCTCCCCCACTCCCCCACAGCAGCAGGCGCAGCCGTGAGAGGGGAGGAGGCGTGGCAGCAGCTGCTGCTGCTGAGGCACATCCGCCACCCCCTCACACCCTCTCCCCGCAGCAGCGGACGCGGCCGTGAGAGAGGAGGGGGCGTGGCGGCAGCTGCTGCTGCTGAGGCACATCCGCCACCCCCTCACACCCTTTCCCCCCCTCCCCATGGGGGGGGGGAGGGGGGGGAGGGGGGCGGGGGCGGGGAATGAGCTGCGCGTGCGACTGCAGGGCGCGCGACGGGCAGGGACCCGTCATTCGCCACCCCCGCCACCCCCATACCCTCCCCCCCCCCTGCGGCACCCGCAGCAGAGGGATGGAGGAGAAGTGGGGGGCGGGGGGGGGGGGGCTGGTGCTGCAGATCCCCTCCCCCCCACTGCTGCACCCGCAGCAGGGGGATGGAGGAGAAAGGGGGGGGGGGGCAGGGGGGGGCTGGTGCTGCAGATCCCCTCCCCCCCACTGCTGCACTCGCAGCAGGGGAATGGAGAAGAAGGGGGGGAGGGGGGGGGGCTGCAGGGAGAGAGAGAGGAGGAGGTGGCGGGTGGCTGGTGTTGCAGAAACCCCTCCTGCCACCCCCTAGGTCAGCCACCCCCCGGAACCGCACCCCTCTTGCCACCCCCTCACCCTCCATGATCTGCGCCCCCAACTCCCTTCCCTCCCCCCCCCCCCCCCCCCTCCTTTTCTGCTGCACGCGCAGCAGGGAGAGGGAGAACGAAGTTGGGGGGGGGGGCGGGTCCTCGGGCGACGAGGCAAGGGGCGACGAGGCCACGGGCGACAGGTCCTCGGGCGACGTGGCCGCGGGAGACAGAGCCGCAGGCGACGGTGCCTTTGGCGACGAGGCCGGGGCCTAGGGGCGACGGTGCCGACGGGCCTAGGGGCGGCGGGCGCGACGGGGCCGACGAGCATAGGGGTGTTGCGCGACGGGCGACGGGCCGGAACCGGGGCCTAGGGGCGTCGGGCGCGAGCGACGGGGCCGAGGGGCCTTGGTCGACGAGGGGCCGCGGGGCGTAGGGCCGTGCCTAGGGGAGCGACGGGCGACGGGGCCGACGGGGCCTAGGGGCGTTGCGCGACGGGCGACGGGCCGGAACCGGGGCCTAGGGGAGCGATGGGCGCGAGCGACGGGCCGGGGGGGCGAAGCCTAAGGGCGACGGGCCTAGGGGCTACGCGCGACGGGCTACGAGCCGGGACCGAGGCCTAGGGGCGACGGGGCCGAGGGGCGACGGGCCTAGGGGCGACGGGGCCGAGGGGCGACGGGCCTAGGGGCGACGGGGCCGGGGCCTAGGGGCGACGGGCACGAGCGACGGGCCAGGGCCTAATGTCGAGAGAAGGGCCACACGGGGGTGGCGCGTAGTGCAGTGAGTGGTGGGCCCAAAAACAGTGAGCGGTCTAGGAAGGGCCTGCTCTGATACCATGTTGAAATAGGTAGCTTAGTAGGAAGGAATGATTTCAGTAGGTCATGAGGGGAGTACAAGTATAATGTCGAGAGTAATCTTGTACTATAAGGCTAAACCCACTACAGCCTAAGTAATCATAAGCACATATGTTTTGACAAAAGCATCAGGCAGCAGCAGTGGCGAGGATTCTGCCCGAGCAATTCGTAACTGTCTGGAGTCGCACAGTTGGGTCTCGCTGCAATAAGGGAATGCACCCCTTAGAGTACATGGCCAGCTATGTCGTTTCGTATTCCACCTTGTTCTGTTATTTATATGTTTGTATTTGCATGTTTTAAACCATCTCAATCATCTTACATTCACTCTGATTTGAGGTCAAGGGCCCACCACCACCACTTAGTTGTGTGCGAACCTTCCTGAGGTGATCCTGGTTACGATCAACTTCTGGTCGCAGCATGGTATGAGAGCAACTCAGGAATCCTTTGCACTGCCACCTCCGAAATCTTCGGTGATCGAAAGGTGGCGTCCGGCACACGCTCGCGTGTAAGGATGGCCGAAGGATCTGAAGGTCAGACGAATCTGACCGCTGAAGCGCAGCCCAACACGGATGCGACAAACGGGGAAACGACAACGATTGGAACCGCCGTCCTCGCACAACTGCTTCAGTGACTCACCAGCTTGGATCAAGGACTCCAAACATTGCGGAATGGCGACGCGGGAACATCTTCTCATCCCTCTCAACCGGCCTCAAATGGTCACAACACCTCCCCGCACACGTTCTCCCTCGAAACAAATGGCTCAACTCCCAAGACTCCCTGTCCCAGCGAAGAAGCAATTCTCTCTGCTCAATCAAGGTTCCTTAGCATATAAAAAATAAAGACAAGTGTATGTTTTCATGGCAGAGACTTTAATACGTGGAGCTTCGAGCTGGAGCAGCTGCTGCAAAACGCACAGATATTCCACTGTTTTGACGGGAGTTACACGGGACATGCTGAAGACACCACTGACGCCAGGGCCGAATATTACAACGAGTCACTGATGGCGTAAGAAGTCCTACTGCGAAACATGTCACCGGCGGAACAGCTGAGCATACAATCGTACAAGACAACATCTGCTCCCGCCCTCGACGCCTGGCGACATCTTAACGGAGTCTACCAACCGAAGGATTCGGTTTCATCGAGCCGCCAGCTATATTAATCACGGTCGGAGCCTGCGCGATCAAATCGCAAAGTTGGGAAGCACTATTTCCGAAGAAATCTTCGTAAACATCGTGCTCCAAGGGCTCGGTCCAAAATGGCGGCCCTGGAAGGCGCTGCTCCCACATCAGGGGGTTATCTCAGAAGCCGCCCTATGCGCCGCCCTTCTCATCAAACAGAGAGACATGGATCAGTAGCGACCAGCGCCGCGACGAGATCAGGAACGCCTTGCCTTCTACGCGGACAACACGGAAGAGCGACGGCCGCGGCGCCTTCACTGCAAAATCTGCAGAAACTTCGGGCACTTGGCGGAGCGATGCAAATTTTGCTCACGCCCTCGCCAGACCAATCCGAGCAACTGGTCTGGCCGACAGGAAGCAAGGAACGACCCGCGTCAAGCCCAGGGCTATCAGCCCCAATCACGCAGCCAGCACCCAACAGTTCAACATCAGCAGCAGCAGCCGTCAGAGTCTACCCCAGTCCGCAACGTCATCGGCAACATGACCATGATGAAAACAAGCGGATCACGTCGTCCTTGCGTGCGCACGCCGTCACTTGACCCAGCTCGCCACCCAATCGGATCGTTCACGGATAAAAATCCGTTCAGCACTCGCCACGATTTCAATGACGACGACGACCAGGATTGGAATCTTCCAATCCCACTGCTTGAAAGCCCCCCGCACATACCTGACACGCGAGCGGCTCCCCTCGACTGGATATCGCGTGAAAATTTCTTAAAATTTGACACACCGCACATCGTCACGCCACGACCGGCGCTGCTCGCGCACGATGACAACAGAAGGTACAACACGTGGTACCTCGACAGCTGCTGCGGACAGCACATGGTCGGGTCTGAGCGTTTTGTCTCCAACGCCGTCGCGACCCCCACGGTCACCTACGTCACCGTGGCAAACAACACTTGTTTGCGCGCAAACGCACAAGGCATTGTCATGCTAAAGGTGCACAGGAGCCTCACACACATCACGCTGAACGATGTGTTAATCGTCCAGAACCTGCGCTTCAATCTTCTCTCAGCGGTGCAACTCATGGACGGCGGAGTCGAGCTCAGCACCGACTTGGTACCTTGTACCTGGACAGCTGTTGCGAGCAGCACATGGTCGGATCCGAGTATTTTGTCTCCAACGCCGTCGCGACCCCTACGGTCACTTACGTCACCGTTGCGAACAATACCCGTCTGCACGCAAACGCGCAAGGAACCGTCGAGCTCAAAGCACGGGGAAGCCTCACGCACATCACACTGAATGATGTGCTCATAGTCCAAAACCTGCGCTTCAATCTCCTCTCGGCAGCACAACTTATGGATTGCGGAGTCGTGGCGATGGCAGTGGTGGTCGTCGGGGTAGAGCTGTTCAGAGGGGAGGTTCTGGCGGTGGTCAGAGGAAGCAGCAGCAGCGCCGGAGCGAGACCCATTCGCCCCAGCAACTTTGTGAGTGGTTGGCTCAGCATGGGGCGTCTGGGGGTAGTGTTCACCGCCCGTATGTCATTCGCACGGGTGACCGTGCTGGTCAGACATGCAGGAAGTTGTCAAACATATATGCTTAGTTATATCTAGGCTTAGTTTATGTGTTTATAGTTGTCTAGGCTATAGTGGGTTTAGCCTTAGGGGGTACAGAATTTCTCTCGACATTCTACTTGTACCCCTCCCCCTTTCCTAGTGATTCATCCTCGTCACTTATTCTAACATGGTATTAAGAGCGAAAATTTCCTAGGACCTAATCTTAATGGGCCCACCACCTACTGCCCTACTAGCCTAGGCCCCGGCCCGTCGCCCCTTGGCGTCGCCCCTAGCCCCTAGGCTCGGCCCCTTGGCCCCGTCGCCTCGGCCCCTTGGCCCCGTCGACTCCGTCGCCCCGCGCTCGGCTTCTTGGCCCGTCGCCCCTAGCTCGGCCCCTCGGCCCCGCTGGCCCCGTCGATTCCGTCGCCCGCGCCCGGCCCGTTCCTAGCCCTGCGGTCGGCCCGTACCTAGCCTCGCGCTCGGCCCCGTTCCTAGCCCCACGATCGGCCCGTACCCTTCCCGCGCTCGGCCTCGTTCCTAGCCCCGCGCCCGGCCCGTACCTAGCCTCGCGACCGGCCCGTACCCTGCCCGCGCCCGGCCCCGTCTCTCGTCCGCGCTCGGCTCGTACCTAGCCCCGCGCCCGGCCCGTACCTAGCCCAGCGCACGGCCCCGACCCTAGCCAGCGCCCGGCCCAGTACCTAGCCCGCGCTCGGCTCGTACCTAGCCCCGCGCCCGGCCCGTACCTAGCCCAGCGCACGGCCCGTACCTAGCCTCGTGCCCGGCCCCGTACCTAGCCCCGCGCCCGGCCCCATTCCGCGCCCAGCGCCCGGCCCCGTACCTGCCCAGCGCCCGGCCCCATACCTGCCCAGCGCCTGGCCCCGTACCTGCCCAGCGCCCGGCCCTGTACCTGCTCAGCACCCGGCCCCGTACCTGCCCAGCGCCTGGCCCCGTACCTATTTGGCCCCGCGACCCCCAGGCCCCTTGTGTGGCCCCTCGGCCCCCCCTAGGCCCCTCGGCCCCCCCTAGGCCCCCCGGCCCCTTGTTTGGCCCCGCGGCCCCTAGGCCCCTCGGCCCCACCTCATAGCCCGGCGCCCGGCCCCCCCCGGCCCCTTGTTTGGCCCCTCGGCCCCCTAGGCCCCTCGGCCCCCCTAGGCCCCCCAGCCCCTTGTTTGGCCCCGCGGCCCCTCGGCTCCTCGGCCCCCACCTCACAGCATGGCGCCCGGCCACCCCCCGGCCCCTTGTTTGGCCCCTCGGCCCCCTAGGCCCCTCGGCCCCCCTAGGCCCCCCGGCCCCTTGTTTGGCCCCGCGGCCCCTAGGCTCCTCGGCCCCACCTCACAGCACGGCGCCCGGCCCCCCCCGGCCCCTTGTTTGGCCCCTCGGCCCCACCTCAGAGCCCTGCGCCCGGCCCCCTGTTTGGCCCCTCGGCCCCTATGGCGTCGCTTCGAGTTCTCCCGTTCGACCCGGAGGGCAGACCTGTAGCATTTGACAAGTGGCACAACGATCTGCAACTGTACCTACTGAGCGACAGTC